CCCGATCACATCTCCATAGGGGTCTTCCCCTTATTTGCATATGAAGACAGCCTATTAATGAGGTAGCTCGCATAAGAAAGTGCCTCAGCCCAAAAGATTTTTTCTAAACCACTCTGCGATAATAAACATCAGACCTTTTCTAGAAAAGACCGATTCAACTTTTCTGTCACCCTATTCTCCTGTGGTGTGTGACTAACTGTGAAGTGCATCTCTATGCCCTCGTCTCGACATAGCTGCTGAAAGGGGTCAGAAGTATACTCATCGCTGTTGTCGGATTACAACGTCTTGATTTTTCTTCCAGTCTGCAGTTCCAATCTCTTCTTCCACTCCACAAATATCTCTAGGACTTCACTCTTTTTCGTCATGGTGTATACCCAACAATGTCTAGAATAATTATCTACAAACGTGGCGAACCAATGTCAACCTCCAAGTGATACCGTCTTGATGGAACCTCAAACATCTGTGTGCATGTAGTCCAAGATGCCCCTCGTCTTATGGATGATTGTCCCAAACTTTACATTCGTCTTCTTGCTAAGAACACAATGCACACAGAACTCAACTTTCCCATTCTTGGCTCACTTCAATAGTCCCTGCTTGTACAGAGCCCGCAGTGACTTTTTACACGTGTGTCCCAACCTATAGTGTCAAAGCTTGCTCGCATCCCCCTCTAAAATAGATGAAGTTATTTGGCCAACCTCGATGCTTTCCTTCAGATAATACAAATTCCTACTGCGGACTCCATTCATCATCACCAAAGATCCTTTAGTAACCTTTGCTATAGCGTTCTCAAAGGTCACATTGAATCCATTCGTCTCCAAAGCTCTAACAGAAATAAGATTCTTCTTCAACCGATGAACAGATCTTACTTCATTCAATTCACGAACAACTCCATCGTGCATCCGGATCCTGACAGTACCTATCCCACAAATATCACAGAATTGATCATTTCCCATAACTACCACGCCCCCATCAAGTCTCTTGAATGATGCAAACCAATCTCGCCGGGGAGTCACATGATAAGTAGCACCAGAATCAAGCATCTAATCAGATGCATCCACATGATTCACCTCTGGAGTAATCAATAGAGAAAAGCACAAATCATCAGAATTATCACCTCTCGCGACGTTCACCTCATTGGCCTTCGGGACCTTCTTCTTGCTATTCTCCTTCTCTTTGAGCTTCGGACAATCTCTCTTCCAATGTCCTTATTCCTTGCAGAACACACATTGGTTCTTCGCTAACAGGTGGTGACCCCTTGACTTTGACCTGTTCCTATTACCATCTCTCGGATATGGACTTCTACCTCTCGTCGACAAGGCCTCTCCTGAAGTGCTAGCACGGGAAGTCTCTTTATCCTTCCTCCTCAAATCGTAGTTCGTCAATTCGTTAGTCACTTCACTGTAGGTGATGGAAGATCTCCCGTTCAACAAAGTGAGCACGAATGTATCATACTCCTCATCAGGTAAGGAGCCTAACAAGATAATCGCATTGTACTCATTCGTTATCTTCTCATCCACGTTCGCCAAGTCCGACAACAACTTTGTATAGTTGTTCACATGAACCACAAGTGAGGTGCCCTTGACATCAGAAATATGAATAACCTCCGTAGCAAACGCAACCGATTCTCAACACTCTTCGTAAGGTACTTGTTGTTAAGAATCTTCCACATCTTCATTGCCGACGTCACCTCAATCACATCGTATTACAGCTCTTGTTCCAAACAAGACCTGATCACCCCATAAGCGTTCCTATTCATCTTGTCTTATATCATCTCATCATATTTCGATGGCCTCTCATGGACCATAATGGTCTCTTCCAAATTTTAAGCATTTAGAGCATCTTGTATGCCGCTCATCCACAAACCAAAATTAATTTTGTCGTCATACTTCACCATACTAATCTTAATGTTTTGAAATCTAACCTGAACTGTACTCGCCATCGTCTTGTTGCTTTCACCAACTTCTTCTCCCATTACAAATCACTCCAAATTGTAAAGAAAGATTCAAACTTTGATAAAAATTAAGAAATTACCTAACTGAACCCTAGATAGGACTCCAACATGATCTCCTAACCATACGAGGAAAGCGAGATCTCCACGGCAACTCCACAACGCTATCTTTACCGAAGCCTAAAACTCCAAGAACCAAGCTTCCACAATGAACCTTCCTCTACCCAATGCCAAAACCCTAGATCTCAAATCTAGGCTCTGATACTAATTGTTGCGCGTCGTGCAGAAGCGTGCTCGATAGCCAAACGAGTCGATAAGACACGAGAGAAGAAAACCAAATCAAATCACGAGTGCAATCCACCAAATACGACATAAATCAAACCAAACACAGAGATTTATGTGGTTCGAAAATTGTCTACGTCCATGGGGAGAGGATGGGAGATTTCACTAAATGGAGGAGAAATACAACGGGTTATAACTCACAAAATCACTCAAATATAACCCTAACCAAAGCTCTCAACTCCCTCACAATATCTCCCTCTCACAGTGCTCAAAAGTTTCTCCTTTCTCTGCTTAAGAAACTCTAAAATCGTGTTTTAATTTATATCAAAACACAAACCAAATCCAACTGGGGGAACCGAACTGGCCCATAACCACTTCGCGGTCGACCAGCCAGAAAGACAAATTCTAACCCTGTAATCGTGCACGTTTTCGGTTAACCAACCATAAGCGTTCGGTCGACCGATCATATTTTCGATCGACCGATAAGATTTTCGGTCGACCGACCATAACAGGGTTTCTATCGGTCGACCAAGCCTATGCCGTTGGTCGACCGACCCGTAACTACACCTGTGCACTTCAAAATTCCTATTTTTCTTCGTCGTTTCTTCAGTAGGATGAGAGAAGATGAGAGAGAAGGAAAGCTATGAGAGGGTTTGAAGATGAGAAAAGTGTATGGGTTCATGGAAGAAATGAGAAGGAATGAAAATAAACCGGAGGAAAAGAAAAGAAAAGAATGAAAAAATATAGAAAATAAGAAGGAGAAGGGAGGTGAGAGAAGTTGAAAGATGAGAGAGGATCTAGCGGTTCATGGAAATATTGAAAAGGAAAAAAGGGAAAATTGGGGGGGGGGGGGGAATGAAGGAGGACAGGATTATTTTTGGAATATTTAAAAAAACTCAAATTGTTTAGGGGGTCTTTTGAGAGGTTTACTGGGTCTAAGGCCTTTTTAGTTATTGCCAAAATGATAGAGGTGTTATTTAGTTTGATTCTTAAAAATAAAGCCCCCGGTGCAAATTTCCCTTTTATTATATATATCATATGAAAGTAAAATCAAATTGCTTCATATGATTAGTTGTACGTAAAATGATGACATCTTAGTCAATTTTATTAAAAATTTTAAGCATTCATTTCATACATATTTGGTGGATAGTTAAAACTTATGAAACCATTTGATATTTTAATATTTTTTTTTCTATTATATAGATTATATACCTTGGATTTTAACTGGAAAAATAAAACTTAATTTGAAACCACAGTATTTAGGTAACCTAGACAGCTCAAGACTGCTCAAGCTTTTGCCATTCCCATAGAGTATCCTATCTTACAAATGCGTCCAAAATGATGGCTATCCTCATCAGTTTAAATAGCTTTTACGGACTTAATTACTACCTTAACATCCAGTTTAAAAAAAATGATAGTTCCGTCACTATTTTTACAAAGTCGATAGTAAAATTTATTTACAAGGATAGGTAGACAACGTGCACGACTCCATGTTCTCTTTATACTTTCAAGTTTTCCCCCTTAGTAACCATAACATCCCCTCCCCATCCCCCAACAAATTATCCACATTAAATGAATTTCCAAACATGGTTAATGCGTCCCCTACCTTCACTTACTTCACATTAACTATTAAATTTACAACTAGTCGTAAAAACAGTCGCTCGCAGTGTCAGCCTTCAAGCTTCAGGTACACCCCTGACCATTTTATGGAACTTCCAACAGTTTGCTAATGATTTCACGAGGACCTCAGCTCACAAAACCACCAGCAGAGATATCAGAGTACCCTCTGCAGCAAACCTCAACTCCGGCGATCTCTCGCCGACTGATTTCTTCCGCGAAACATAATTAGCAAGCCTAATAAACACCAGCAAACCAAACCCATTTGTTTCCAGAGGTTGATAAGGCTCACAAGACAACTTAACCTCCGATCTCTTGAGATTGATTTCATAGCAAATCAATGCTCTACTGAACTCACACCCATGTTTCTTTTCTCAAACCAAAAGCTTCCGAGTAAAATGTGGCTTCTTTCTTCCTGAATTGAATCCCAACTTACCAATCACACTTTTACACAAAGGGACCACTTCCCACTGCAAACACTTTGTAACTTCACTTTCCTTCTGATCCTTTTGCGCTGCAAGTGAAACTGGAGAGACGCTCCTAACGGCCTTGAGGCTCCCCTGAGCCTTTCAAACAAAAGGCTGGAGCTCACCCTTACAAGAATCAGATTTTATTATTGACTGGGCCAACAAATGCGCATGCATTTTGTTTTCTCCTCCTCTTTCAAGTAGTTTTTATGGCAGTCTATTTTCGTTGGGAAAGCCTTTGGAGCTTTGGGAACTGTTACGATGACACCTGAGACGCTGCAGTATTTGTCATTGACCGAGCCCTGCAGCGGCAAAGAAATCATACAGATGACCCTGCATATTAAATAGCACAAGTAATAATAAGATTGCTAGAATAGTACAGCTTGATGATTACACGGATACAATGTTCTAATTATATTGATGATACAATATTTTAACTGTACTCATTTAGAATTGATAGTGTCACAATAAACCTTTCCTCCTTATATGATTTTTTCCCCAAATACAACTTTCTCAAGTTTGGTTCGTTCATGCAAGTGTATTTGAAACTGAAGGAGTCACTGGATCATCACTAAAAGCACAAAATTACGGCCCCTGGGAGAACATTTCAAAATCTTCATCGTCATAATCGAGTGTGTTCCCACTGTTACCGGCATATAATAGATTTCTGCGGCGCACCCCAGAGAAACTTAAAAGAGCATTTTGCTTATATTGACTATCATAATGGATATTCAGAACACTTCAGTATACACTACACCGGGAGAGATATAACATTCACAGACTCAGCTTCTTTAGTTTACAAGCCATTAACAAGAACGGTGCAAATAGACAATATGCCATTAAAACACCCATTAAAAAAACAGTAAGAAAATAAAGACTAGAACACCAAATACCTTCATGCACTCTTAACAGAGCTATCCTTTCCTCTTGCAATCTGATTTCACTGTATAGTCTCAGCTGGGATACTCGAGCTCCTCATTTGAATACTGCACCGCAGTTTCAAATGATAACTGTTTATAAAACAGCCAGATTCCCTAATAAGATTCATGAGTAGGGCTATCAGAGTGCATATCCATGGACGAGTCATTGTTGCTCAGAGAATTAGACTCCCGGCTTACACCATCATGATTCCTGGCGCCATTTTGTGAAGACCCCCCTCCTTGTGATAAATGATAGTGTTGAAGGCTACGGCGAACTGGGCTGGAGAGTGCATTTGTGAAAACCGAGTTCTTTGCCTGATCAGAGTAAGAAGGCCGAGGGGCAAGTCCTACTGATGTTTGCCCAAAGATACCAGAAGAGGTTTGCATTCCGGTGTTTTGGTGCGGAAACTGCAGCCTTGGCGATATTGGTGGATCTTCTACCACGTAATCTAACTCATTCTGAAAGACAAAATAACGGTCATACAACAATTGATTTGATGGTTTAACAAAATGATGGTCTTACAACAATTTGAAGTTGTTCTCTTTGGTCTTCCACATAATTTATAGAAGGATCACAAAAGTAAGTACAATAACCTTTTTTTGGGGTGTTTGCG